AAATCATGCTTGTCTGGAGATTTTTGATTTTGTGTAATTTATTTTTTATCTCAAATTACTCAGGGTTAAATGTGAAGATAATGAATAATAATGGACGCCCAAACGCAAGTACGTGAGCCATTCCATCTTGAGTTTTTTCATGCATAGATAGCGGCGAGCCAGTGAATGAGGATGGCAAAATAACAGACTGTCCTATACTGAAGGCTTCAATGTTACTATCATTATTTATTGCATCTCGTAGATAAATGTAATTTTTAGCACGCAGTTGTTTTTGATGTATTCGCAAGTAAAACAAACGCTTTGTGATCATTTTTGCCATCATATTAACAACAAATTGATTGAGTAAGTTTTTATACTTAAGCTGGTAAACTATACGATCATTTTTCAACATAAACCAATATGAGTAGAGTTGCATGCAAGAAAAAATTTTGTTTGCAAGACTAATGTGGTCAATCAATAGAATATTCATTTTTTCCGAAAATAATTATAAGACGATATTGCAAGAAGTCGTAGAATCGGTGAAGCTCAGAACATTTCCCCAACTATTCATGTCAACCATGTAGAATAATGTATCTAGGACCTTTTTCTTTGTCAACTATAAGTGCAGCAACTTCATTAGCCCTGGGCGCATTATATTGTCCTCGATGCTGCCCAACAGAGGTTCGGTCAGCATGAATCATCAATTTTAAGTTTTCAAGTTCATCTACTGTTAGGAAGTCAGAATTGGACTAAAAAGTTTTTATAAGAGGATTGCAATCATGCATAACTTTTTGTAGTGATTCAATCAAAGTTTTTTAGAACATTATCTGACCGAATGGAAATTGGTTCTGCTTTAAACATGAAATAGAAGTAGAAATTCGTAAGCAATGCGGACTTTTGTTCTGTTCGAGAAGAAAGCTGCCTATTAAGTGGTATACTTGACCGTGAATTATGAAAGTTGGCATCAAGTTTCCTTCACTGATTTTTTCACCTCCAAACGATGTCATTTAAAATTGAGCATAATAACGTCTGATATTATCAAGGAAATTATTTGATAGAGGGTGTTTGTCCATCAACAGACAACTTACCAATTCAGGAAGATTTTCCAATAGATTAAGGAAAACTTTACCACCAGAGCAACAAAGCCTTGAAGCTTTATCTCTCCATTTTTTAGCGCCACAATGAGTGTAAATAGAAATCATTCCACCAATTTGAATTTCTGGAAGATTTAAGTAATCACTGTTAGGGTTATAATAAAAAGAAAATCTGTCACTTAAATGATTAATTGTTTTCCGATTTGGGTGATACTATTCTAATTTCCATGAATATTTTGCGTCAGTTTCTCGACGCCTAAAATAAATAAATAAACATTTGAAGCATTAGAAGTTCTCCTTCCAATTCGTCTTCTTGCAATTCTAGGTATTGTTAAAAAATTTTGCGAGCTCTAAGGGATGTTTTTCGCAAACTTTGTTAAGTTGTAATATATTTTTAGGCAAAGATGTTCAAAGTTAAATGGTCATTAAAACGATCGATGAGATTGCTCAAGTTAGCTGAGCGCTAATGTTGAAGGAAAGGTAATCCCTGGTTTAAGTGCTCACAGTCTGGAGAACCGTTGGTGGCTGTGGTTCCTAGACTCACGATAAACAGCTCTGCCCTCAATGGCTGACAGTAAATTAATAACTTTGTTTTATAATTGGTTGGCTTAATATAGATCCTTAGTGGACGAATCGTAGCAATTCGCTATAAGACATTAGTTTAAAATGGCAGTTCTAATAAAAAAAATATTTGTTGGCAAAGTAGTTCAACGTTTAATAGCCCTTAAAAGGACCAATGTGATTGACAATAGTTAAATCAAGGCAACGATGACTAATGGCCCTGAAAAGGGCTGGTGATGATACTTAGTTGTTTTTTTTGTTTTTCTCAATGATGGAGAACTGGCCGTGAGTCGATGATTTAAAAAACTGTATCTAGCGTTTTGTAAGCGGCAAACATCTGCTGTTTAACTTTTCTAAGTCAACGGGGATCATAGAGCTCGGTTATCTGGACCCAGGGTTTCTCAACCTTTGCCCTCAGAATCTCTACGTATCAAAAGCGTGCTGAAAGAAAGTATGCTGCTGGCCGAAGAATATTTTGTTTCCCAATAAATTATAAGATCTTTTATAAAACTTAATATCATACTCCCCTTATAATAAAAAAAATGGCAGTAACCAGTAACTCATCAGCCATTTTTTCAATATAAAAACATTTTTTTTCGCACACACTGGATTTTTCGTTAGTAAATTTAAATTGTTTGAATAATAAATTCTTTTATCATCATTTAAGCTTTTTATCGAATAACACCCCATCTCATCCCTATAAGTCCGGGCGCGGGGGCCAGGGGGTTTCCCGTAGCCTTTTAAGGCCTATGGCTCTACTAAGGTTTTTTTCGTAGGTTAAACCTCGAGAAACCACGCAAAAAAAGTTATTAACAATTTTTACAAGCGAATTTAAATTTTTCAAAACTTAGGGAATTTTTCACTCGAAAACTGTGGAGTTCAGGTTAATATATTCCAATTGGTTTTTTGTTTCAAATATGCCAAAGAATAAAAATAAAAATTTTTTTAATAAGAAAAAACATAACTTTGAAATTTATTTATAAAAATTGGTAATCACTTTTTTGCATGGTTTTTCAAGGTTCCACCCTCGAAATTACCATTCAGGAGATAAAACTGCATAAGAAAACCTTGGTGGAGCCATAGACCTCTAAAAGCTACGGAAGCCCTCCTGGCACCCAGACTATATTGGAGATAGCTCTAGAAATGAAATGTTATGTAAATTAGGTTGACAGAACGATGAATCATCATACATAAACCCTTACTTATAGTTTAAAATTTTTCAAAGCAACTTTTTCTTCTCCAAACCTATCACAAATATCTTCCTAGTATTTATTATATCGTTTTATAGGGTAAAGACTACTGTATTACAAGTTATAGAACGAGATACCCACGGAGTCCCATAATAATGGGATTCTAACCATTGATTAGTCCAGCGTTTATGAAGTAACAACTTTGACCACTTGCAATGCGCTTGAAATTGGTAAACTATAGGCGTAACACCCTCTCAAACTGTGATGATAACTGTCTCCTTCAAGATCAAGATATTAGAAAGACCAAAAAAAAAAAATAAGAAGACCTCAAAGCCCTGCAGGTCGGCAGAGAGCGCTGGCTTAATCGATGAGGAGTGTACGTCCTGGAATATGGCGTCCTCTCCGGGGAAAGGCTACACAGTGGTAAGTGGATCCGATGTACCATTGGTGCAGTGAGTGTCAGCTTAACTGGCAAGGTGTTCCACTGAAGATACTTACACTGTGCCCATGGGTGTGGCAATACACCCCCACACATTGGTGGTGAGTGGGTGGCCCCCGCGACTAGGCCAGTAGGCTGTCGTGGTAACCCGGTAGAAAAAAAAAAAAAATAAATAAATAAATAAGATTGCAAGCTGTAGAGAAGTTATTCGTGGGCAAGTCATCGAACTAAAAGGGTCTCCTGGAGAAAGAGCAGCTTAAGCTCTAAGCGACAAGCCTATAACATGACGAGGAAATTCTTTAACCAGACTTCATTGTAGACCTGCAGGGCTTTGAGGTCTTCTTATTTTTTTAGGTCTTTCTAATATCTTGATCTTGAAGGAGACAGTCATCATCACAGTTTAAGAGGGTGTTACGCCTATAGTTTACCAATTTTAAGCGCATTGTAAGTGGTCAAAGTTGTTACTTCATAAACGCTGGACTAATCAATGGTTAGAATCCCATTATTATGGGACTCCGTGGGTATCTCGTTCTATAACTTGTAATGCAGTAGTCTTTACCCTATAAAACGATATAATAAATACTAGGAAGATATTTGTGATAGGTTTGGAGAAGAAAAAGTTGCTTTGAAAAATTTTATACTATAAGTAAGGGTTTATGTATGATGATTCATCGTTCTGTCAACCTAATTTACTTTACATTTCATTTCCAGAGCTATCTCCAATGTAGTCTGGGTGCCAGGAGGGCTTCCGTAGCTTTTAGAGGTCTATGGCTCCACCAAAGTTTTCTTATGCAGTTTTATCTCCTGAAAGGTAATTTCGAGGGTGGAACCTTGAAAAACCATGCAAAAAAGTGATTACTAATTTTTATAAATAAATTTCAAAGTTATGTTTTTTCTTATAAAAAAATTTTTATTTTTATTCTTTGGCATATTTGAAACAAAAAACCAAGTGGAATGTATAAACCTGAACTCCACAGTTTTCGAGTGAAAAATTCCCTAAGTTTTGAAAAATTTAAATTCGCTTGTAAAAATTGTTAATAACTTTTTTTGCGTGGTTTCTCGAGGTTTAACCTACGAAAAAAACCTTAGTAGAGCCATAGGCCTTAAAAGGCTACGGGAAACCCCCTGGCCCCCGCGCTTGGACTTATATGGATGAGATGGAGTGTTATTCAATAAATAGCGATCGCTAGGTCTCAGTTTGATCGACAAAACCTACACAACTGCAGCAGCTAAAGCAGTGCAAATGTAATAAACATCACTGTTTATTAACACTACTGTGTTGTCTATTCTCAGCTGTTTCCATCCACTATTGTCCACACTTTTTGGTTCTTTCCTCTGTCGCCCAACGGCCGATGATCAACGTCAATCGCACTGATTAAGGGTACTTGTATGATTGTTAAGTTCTAAAAAAAATATAATAGTTTTTTAAAATCACTCTTTGTCGTTACTTTACTAAAGTTGTTTAGGCAAGTAAAAGGGGAACGAACGCAAAAATTTATTTCACAAAACATTTAAATAAAATTCATATTTTTCGATTCTTTTAGTTTTACAGGGATGTAAAGTGTTTGAGGTACGAAAATTTAGAATGGCTGTACTTAGCATCATAAATCAAACTTTCCCTTGAGTCAATTGTATGGTAACCTAAAGATTTTTTATGCTATTTGTAAACACTGTATAAAATAAAAAATGCACGATTAAAATTGCATGTAAGAAATTAAAAAGGCGAATATTCTTTACCATTGGCCCTTCCAAGTTATAACGAATGTGGGGCGCTAATTCTGGAAGACTCCATGCTCTAGGTAAAATTCCTTGTAACTCAGGATACTTAACCAAATCTGTAATGTAGAAGCAATTTTTCATTCCAGTCGTAAACATATTTGAAAATAACTTTTTTTCACGTAGTTTTGGTTGCTTTTCTTCTGACACTGCTTGAGTTTTAGAAAAATTATCAACAGCTTCCAATATTTTAGACGTATCCAAGGCTATGCATCCTTTTTTTTCAGGTACCATAACCTGCAGAAGTGTAAAAAAAGTTATTTACATTGACGAAATTATACAATTTTTTTTTATATTATGAGATATTATTAATGAAAAAAAAGGACAAAAGAAATATTTCATTTTTATTTCTTCGTATTAATATTTTCAAAATTCAGAATATTTTAGAGCTATAGAGACGAAACGCTAAATATCCTGAAATATGCAGGGTTAAACTTTTTACTAGTGATTTTTTTTTAATTATAATTTGCATAATGTACGTCTATACCTTATAATTAAGTAGTTATCAGGTTGCTGACATCAAGCTCTTTCCTGTACTTTCGACAATGCTCTCTAATGTTTACCTTTCACCTAACAAAATGCAGAGAAATAATGCAATACAACATTTTACAAAATTCTAAAAATAAAAGAAGCTTATTTTAAACCGTCTTGAATGCAACCTAACTTTTCCTCATACATTTTTTTCTAAATTCAAAGATCGTCCTACATTGTGCTCTTAAGCATCGTTTATAGTGAGCTGCTGAAGCTGTTTCTAGCTACGGCTACACTGAGAGGGTGCTGGTGTCACTGAAGCACTAATTGTAGTTACAATAACACTACACACTACGCAAGCTTCACTTAAATCATAAATTAATCAAAATTTTTTTTAAAGGAGAAAGTAATATATCTTACTAATATATGAAGCAACGTCGCGTCGCTAAAACCGTTGGTTTTAGTATAGTTGTTATCTTGAAAAATTTAATAACAATAGCAATAAATAAGCTAAAAGTTTTGCAAAAATACGCCAGCTTCACTTCAATTCAGTAGGATCCACAAGGTGGTGTCGACATAAAATCAAAGCTACCTGCAACATAATTAAATAAGTGTGGTTATCATAGGCCCAAAGCGTCCCAAAAATTTCTGCAATCATCTACCGGCAGATCATCGAGCGGCATCGAAAATGTGTATGATAGTCACGCAGCTGATATCCCGGTTAGCGACGACACTCTTCTCCAATGGGCAAGCGATCTAGATCTACTTCCACCCTGAACCTCCAAGATTGACAAGAGTCAACAATAAAAAATTATTCTAACCGATAACATCTCCGGCGGAATACCAGAAGACGTGTCTAGCTATAACACAACCTGTTCCTACACTTCAGAGTTATGTGGTCGTTCCACTATCTCGCTTGGTGCCGTCAAAGAATTTTTACTACAAATGCAAGCCAGGAAAAACAGCCCTGAGAAGCACGGGCAGCCACAACGGCATACTCACAGAGAAAGTATTCTCCAGGCCCACTTTTCCGACTAACGATGAGCAGTTGGTTATCCAGGGAACGACCCCAAAGACGAGATATTCTTTGGTCAGTGGCGTACCTCCCTCCTGTACGGTCTCTGTACACAGAAACTCTAAGGATTAGAGTCAAGCAACCTGCAGCTTGCTCTCCATCATCAAGAATAATAATAAGGATTAACTGAAAGTTTCACCACTGGCCCTTTTTAGGGCTACTTTAAGTATTAACGTTCGCTACTTAACCATCAATCTTATCGGTTCTTTTAAGGGCCACCTAAATTTAAACTACCTTGTCATCAAATACATTTTTACTACTATTTTCGGGAGCGATTCGTCAAATAAAAGACTATATTAACTAAAGACGGCCACTATTAAACCGAGTCAGCCATTCACTGGCAGTCGTCACGAGCGGAGTTGTTCTTCGCAAGGCTGGAAACCCCGGTGACCGACGACCCTATATTACCCTCTCGACTCTAAGCATTCAACCTGGAATCACCGATCCTTTCCAAGGTCTGCACTGGGCATACCTATAACAGCTATGAAGGAAAAAAAACTTGAGCCAACGGGACAGTCTCTACCGGGCAGGTATCACTAACCAATCTCCACATCTAAGATCACCAAAACAACTGAATCTGCAAATAGAAAAGGTGCTTTGGACACCAAAGTCTTCGACGTTATATCATGGAGACGTTGAAAAAAATCTTTACAACTAGCTTCAAAGCTTCGGACTTTGTAATTTTCCTCCCAATCAGCCTGGGGCTTCAACAGCAGACCAGAGAAGATTATCCTGAGTATCCAGGCAGTCACAATTGCTGTAACCTTCAGTCAAGAAAGAGTTTACGTAAGAAGCCCAGCGGTATTTTTTAAGGGCCATCGGACGTGAAACTTATTTACCAACAAATATTTAGAACTTAACAAATTTGACAGAAAACAGCCTTTAACGGTCACAAAAGTCTTAAAGACTTAAACATGCCAAAAGTTAGCAAGAGAATCAATTGGAAGAAAAACGTCAAATGTATCTAATAAATATAATTGTAGGCATCAAGAAACTGACGCAGAATATTTATCGAGATGGGAACAGCAACGTCTTTGTATTTTTGTGGCCATAAAAAATGTAGAGATTAAGCTTCAGGACTTTTTTGCTCTGGTAATAAAGTTGTGAGATAAGAGAAAAAATTTTTTTTTAGTATACATTTTTTGGGAGTATTAAATATTAACAGCTTTAAAAAATAGCCCTTTTGGTAAACTATTACGGGAAAAACTGCAAATCAACGGCTCCTTATGGCCAACGATTATTTTATGGCGTAAGAAACGCACGGTACTTTTCAGCATAATAATATTTTTCTTAATTTTTACAGTTTTTCAATTGACCAAATAAACTGGTTGGATTCTGATTAAATATGTTTTCAATGAAAAGATTTTTGTTCTGAGAAGTATCAGAAATAGGTGTAAAATTTTTAACTGAAAATATTTCACATAACATGTCAACACGCTACAGTGTTTTATTTAGTGAGTCTCGGGCGAAATCGAGACAGGGGGCCACTAGTATATTTATATAAAATACTACTGTTTATTTTACAAATTTCTACTTATGTTAGTTATTTTTGATAATTACTTATGCTACGATGTATAATTCTTACAATTATTGTACTCTGAAATAAAAGGTTCATGCATAATTTTTTCCTACGCCAACTAAAAATCAGGATTACAATATCATCTCCATAATTACCTACAGGCTTTTCTTTGATATCAAAGCAAAACTCAACAGGATTATGAAATTTTGGAGGCCTATCAATGTAGCCACTCTTGAACCATTAATACTTTAAATTATTTTGGTACCATAGAGAAGATAATTGATTATGTACAAGGAATTGTATTTTTATAATATTATATCTTTCATGTTAATTAATTTTGTACCAATGTTAAACAATAATATCAGATAACTTTCTTACAAAATTAGTCCAGAAGTGAAAGCCAGAAACAACTAAACGGTAAATTTGAGCCGTAAGTATCTAGTGGTATTGTCATTACTTTTAATTTACTTGTGTTGGTACAACTTCTTGTACGATATTATTGCATTGTCTGATATAGGAGACTAATAGTAAGACAGCTTGAGTTTCCAGAATTTTTTCAAAAACCCTTCTTTCATCCAAGGCTGCAAGAGTTCTCCGGTAAGCTTTTCAGATTTAGAAGCTCGTATGAATACATTTTCTGGTGTAAATAATGTTTGTTTAACTGGAGGCCCGAAATCCCTATTTGCTTCTTTAAATACTAATAATAACGGTAATAGAAAATTACCCTCTGCTGATATGATAAGTTGAATAGAGTAGCTGTGAGTTAGCAAAGACAGTGATTGCGCTATACTTCAAATTTTTTTCAGTCCTCGATAATTTAATGTTCTACCGTTGTGAATCTCCAAACTAAATTCGCTTTGATCCAAATTATAAACGTAGTTGGCTCCGTATCTAGTAATCAATTGTTTTATCCCCAATCTAAAAGTTTCACATTCGTTCTTAATTTTGTTAACGTTTAGTAAAAAAGCTGTTTAGCTTAGCTGCTAGACACATTTAGTTATTTTCCGAGATACAATGTTGTATTTTTTTTTCAATTTCCAAATTTACCAATTTGATGCTTTGAATGAATTCATATTTACTTCAGTTTTTTTCTGTAAAACCCATCGTTTAAAATCAATGTCATGTATGTTATTTTTGGTTCCATCGCTTTACTAAAATTATCCAAAACATATTCTTGTATCATAAATAACTTATCACATCTACTGCCTCCCACTTCTACTTGCTCTTTCCATCGCCGTGATTGCGTCTCGCTAGTGACGTGACTATATCTGCGCTTCACGATATTAAATGAAATAGGCTTTGTTTTTCCACTTAACCAATACTCAACTATTTCCTCTTAATACTTTAGTTCGAAATTTTTTGCTCTGCCGGATTAGTTGATTCTTCTGTAAAATTCTCCAATCCTTTGATAATTAACCAAAACAAAAAAATTGGCCCACGAATAACATAAATTGCATGGATGTCAAAGCAATGATTAATATGCGTATATCGGAGATGTTCAAGACTACTATACCAAGTTTGAATTCCACACTTACAAGTATATAATGTGAAAGCTAATAAAATGTTGAATAGGTAAAAAATTTGTTGGAAAAAATAACAATAAGTTTTTAAGTATTTTTGAATTATTGATTTATTCAAAAAATATACTACTTTGTAGTGCATGTTTAAAGCCAAAAATCAATATTTTAAATTTCTGCCGATAAATTTAATCAATATCACTCCTAATATAATAATAACTTAACAATTATTTCATAATTGAATCGTGTTGAGACTTGTAATAGTCACACTGACAATAATATCAATACATTTTTTTTCATAAATTGGAGCATGATGTATAATAATTCATTATAAAATATAGTATTCTAGAGAAAAAATAAATAAATTTACAATTTAATAAAACGTTCCGTACATATTTATTCTTTTCACACTACCGTGTAATGAATGACCTAAAAAAAAACTTTCTTCGTTTTTTCATAAAATTAATTAAAATGCTCTTTAAGGATTTTTTTTGCTATATTAGTTTAGTAAGTATGAATTTTAGAAGTATAATAGCAGATTTGTAATCTGTGACCATTAAAACCCTTCATAAGCTTCTGCGAATTTTTTTGGGGTTAAAAAAAATGTTCGCGATGGTTCTGTACTAAGGGCGGTTAATCTACAATGGGGGTAGTA